ATAGAGGGTGGGAGGGAGGGAGCGGTGACCAGAGAGGAGTCCTGGGTGCCTGAAGTGGGCAGTGTCCAGGGCAGGCACTGGAGACGGCGAGGGAACCACAGGTGACTGCAGGGAAGGGAGGGGCCGAGTCTTGTCTGGGCCCCATCCCGGGGCCCCATCCCCAGGCACTTCAGGGGGAGTCAAGATGCTCCTGCCTCTCACCTTGAACCTCCAGGGTAGTGACCTTATTGTAGGACTGGAATCCCACGATTGTCCACTTGTACTCGCCAGCCTGGGTGTCTTGGGCTTTCTCTATCACCAGCTGTGCCATGTGTTCTTCAACCCAGAGCTGCCACCCATCCCGGCAAAAGCATCCTGGGGTCTTCTCCACGAAGATGGGCAGCCAGCTGTTTGTGGCGGAGTGCCTCAGGTAGATGGTGACATTTTTTAAGGGGTTGGAGATGTTGCAGGACATCACGGCACGCTCCCCCACGGTCACGGAGATCACCTTGGTGCAGGTGGGGCGGTCCCAGGCTGTGTGCGTCTTTCTGAACCTAGAGACCGTGCCCTTGGGGCTGGGGTTGTGGTCCAAGGCTGTGTGGAGGGGACATTCACACATGAGGTCATGGCTGGGCCTCAGGATGGTCACCAGCAGCCCTCTCTGGGGTCATGGTCATTACCCAGGCCTGAGCCTGGCCTGGGTGTGCCCCCCCCCAAGAGTGGACCCCGACTCACCCCCCGTCTGAGCGCTCAGGGAGGCCTGCATGACCAGGAGGGCCCAGAGCACCGTGGGAACAGGGAGGGAAGATGCGGAGGTCAGCATGGTCAGCATGGTCAGCATGGTCAGCATGGTCAGCAGGACCGCAGGCCTCAGGGCTCCCCAGTCCTCCTCATTGGCTCTCCGACCCTCCCTGGATGAAGGGAAGCCAGTGGGTCAGAGGGCCGGAGCGGGGCCAGGGGTGGGCAGGGGCCCCAGGCTCCCTAGGCTCCCGATCGTTGGCGCCTGGAGGCCAGCGTCCCTGCCCCACCCTGCTGCCCCCGGCCCAGCCCCTCCTCCTTCTGTGCTGGCCACTGTCAGGCGGAGGAGGGACGCAGAGTCACTGGGAGGGCATCCCCATCACCGAGGGGTTCACCCTTTAGGATTGAGAATAAAGTTCACAGAACTGCCTGGACGGGGCGAGCCATGGAGACACTCGGCCACAGAGGGGCTCTGGACCGGGCACTGCCCCGAGACCACTGTGGACACCCAGCCCCGGTCCCCCCCCCCCGCTGCCCCGTCCCACTGCTGGGGCCCGGCTCTATTTTGGGGCCTTCACTGGACACTCGGCCCACTCGCCAGATTTGCTCTTAGCAACAGGCAGCTTCCTCCTGAGGAGCTTGCAGCTGTGACCGGTGCCACAGCTCCCACTTCCTGTAGGACAAGTGTCACCTCAGGCCCCAGGCCGCTCAGCCTCTGGTGAGGGCGGCATTCACCCTGAGTGTTTTAAATCATTAAAAAGTAGATATACATAGAGACCTTTTGGGGGCAGAGGCAGGGTGGAGGGGCCAATGGGGAAAGACAGAGGGACACATGTGACACTTTCAACAATAAAGGTTAAAAAAACAGACCTTTTGTTTTGTCAGAGAATTCCCCTCGGCTCCCCTGCCCCGCGCTAGGGCGCATGCGGTCACGCGTGTGAGCCGACACGGAATCCTTATCACCGGCCGAAGTCCGCAGTGGACGCCAGGGGTCACTCCCGCCTGCACCCTCTGTGGGTTTGGGCAGACGTGTAATGACGTCTGGTCCGTTCCGGCCTCACGCACGGTGGTTTTTCTGCCCTGAGCACCTTCTGTGCTCAGTGTGCTCCCCCCTCCCCCAGGCCCCGGCAACCGCTGGTCTTTGCACTCCCCTCACGGCTTTCCCAGACGGTCACAGATTTGGGACCTTTTGGTTTTGCATTTATTGTTTCTGACTCTTTTTTTTAAAAAAAGCTATTGATTTGAGAGAGAAGGAGGGGGAGAGAGAGAAACCGTCCCCTCACTCATGCATCGTGGCTGGATTCTTGAATGTGCCCCGACTGGGGACCGAGCCCACAACCTTGGTGACCTTGGTGGACGACACGCTAACCGGCGGGGCTGCCCAGCCAGGCTGCCTCCGATTCTTCATTCCCGCTTTGGGAGATGAGGCAGAAGGGCTGGGAGCCGCGTGAAATTTGACCGTGATGACCTCCAGGAGGCCGGGCTGTCGGTGACAGGTCTTGATCCCAGGGCGGTGACATTGGGGGGGGGGTGACTTCCGCCCGGCCAGCCCCAGGACACACTGCTCCGTGTGCCCTGTCCTCCCATCCTGTCCCCACTCCCGCTGGGTTCCTGTGGCCTTTTTTTTTTTTTGTATGTTTTTATTGAATTTTAGAGAGAGAGGGAAGCATCCGCATCGATTGGCTGCCTCCTGCACCCCCCTGCATTCCGAGCGCAGAAGCTCAACCTCGGAGCCACACTGGCCGGGCTGGGCTCCGGCGGTCTTGCCCCTGCCCCTGGCCTCCCTGAAGGGCTGGTGGCCCCTGGACCAGCACGTCCCAGCCAGTGTGCTGGGGGCCCTCCCCTCACAGGTCGGCCCTGGCGGGGTCCACAAGCCAGCTGATCTGGGGGCCTCAGAGCCACGGAGAGGCAGGCCCACCTTGGCCTGCACAGCCTCACGATGGAAAGGAAATGGTTATATCCAGCTTTTGAAAGAAACATCTAATTTGAGAAAGGAAGAGAGTTTCAAGAACGTGAGATGCAGCCCCCGCACCCTCCTGTACTCCTCCGGATGGCCCAGCCTACAGGGGCTCGGGGTCGGCGGCCACGCTCCCGGGAGTTGCGAGGAGGGGGCCAGGGGACTCTGCCGTGCTCATGGCCCAGGGCTGGCCGGAGCCGGGACGCCCTCCACTGGGTCAGACTAGGAGGAGCAGACAGACAGACAGACATGCGGGGATGGTTTCTTCCCCACTCGGTTTGCACGGGACTCGGGGGCCCGGTGTCCTGGTCTCTACATGGTACCTGCCTACTCGGCTGAGGCCTTGGACGACTGGCTGTCTGGGAAATGTCCAGGCGCCTGGCGACTGCACCAGCAGCGGAGGGAGCCCCTAGGTTTCATCAGTCAGGGGCAGGGCTGCCTACGCACAGGTGTCGGCGAATCCAACAGCCCTCAGGGCCCAGAGCGGTGCTGCGGCCACCCTGGGCGTGTCTCCCCTTCACTCCGGGCCAGCCCTTCGCGCATCCACACAATCGTCAGCCCCATGCCCAACTCATTTTGCAAGTGACAGGGTCCAATTTTTTCTTTCTCCCGGGACAGCAGGTGTGGGCACCCGAGGCCGTGCCTGAGGGATGCACCTGGTCCCCTCTCCTGGAATCCCCGCCAGGAGCCTCACCCGCCAGGAGCCTCGCCCAGGACGCTGCCAGGCCACAGGGGTCACCCGCTTGGTTGTCTGTTTTCACCCCAGGAAGGCGGTTCTCTCTGTTCTCTTTATCTTTCCCGAGACATTTGTTTTTCTACGAGAACATTACACTGATTTTAATAGTTTTTTTCTTGGAGAACCAGGAACCTGATGATTGAGCAGTGGACGGGGGCAGCTGCCCTGATCATGCCTGAACCCGCTCAGCATAAAGGGAGAGAGATTCAGATTTTGCAGCTGGACGCAGGCAATGCCAGGATCAGCATAAGCAGCTCATTCGACTTTGCTAGAGCCTTACTTGGACAGACAGAAGGTTCTAGTAATTCTTGTGCCGGGGCTTTTCCCGGCACCTCAGATAAGATGTGCTCTTTTTCCTGAATATTTTTACAAAACAACTTTTCTTTTTGAAAAACAAAAATTTTGTTAACCAATTGATTTTAGAGAGAGAAAGGGAGGGGGAGAGAGAGAAGCGTTGATTTGCTGTTCCGCTTATTTATACGTTCCTCAGGGACACGAACCAGGAACGCGAAGGCCTGGCGGCAGGCTCAGTGGTTAGAGCATCGGCCCTCACACTGACCGGTGACGGGTTCGATTCCAGGTCAAGGGCATGTACCTGGGTTGCAGGTGCTTCCCTGGCCCTGCTCTGGGCACGTGTGGGAGGCAATGAATTGATGTGTCTGTCTCACATGGGTGTGTCTCTCCACAGCCCCCCACTCTCTCTAAAAATCAATGGAAAAACTATCCTCAGGTGAACATCATTTCATCATCAGGTGAAAAATCGAAGAATGAGCCAGTGGCCGGCCACACATCCTGGGTGCTGAGTGAGCGCCTGGCACGCCCACCGAAAGCCCAGGGGCACGATGCGGCCAAGTCCTCTGTCCAGGCCACACTCCTCACATGTGACCTCGGGACCTAGCAGGAGGGGAGGGCAAGCTCTCCTGGCGGGAGACCTGGGTCTGCGGCGTCTGGGGGAGACCCTCCCCTTGGGAACCTCCTCATCACACCTTCTCCTGACTTTGGTGCTTATTTTTCCAGGTAGATTGGGAGTCATCTTTCAAGTTCTGAGCCAACTTTCTGACGTGTTGACTGAGAGCAAATGGGCTATTACACAATCCTGGGCCTGCAGACTCCACACAGGGGCGGGCGACTGAGCTCAGATAAGCCATCCCTTCCGTGGGGCCTTCCGTGATCGCACTGCAGCTCCCTGACCCCACCCACGCCCACATGGGCACCCGGCGCTGGCGGAGGGCCAGGCCCCCGTGTCGCCGTCTGTGTGCTCCCCTCGGGCGTCCCACACGCTCTGCACACAGCAGGTGCTCAATCCCTGTGGACGTGCACAGCCTCCCCCCAGGGCTGCCCCCATGAAGGGGTCCGTGGGTCCCCCACACTAGGTCCAGGGCAGGCCACCTCAGCTAAGCTTGGCGCATCCAAGGTGAGCCTTGGCTGTACCTAGAGCATGAAGGGAAGTGAGTGACCTCAGGTGAGGCGGGTCCGCATGTCACGAGCTAATAGCACAGCTGGACTTTGGAAGGGACAGTGTGTTGACAAGGGAAAGGAAAGCAAAAGAAGGGTCTCATGTGACCTCTCACGTAGGCGGAGGGAAACTCCAGAGGGCACCCTAGGAGGACAGGGACCTCGGCGGCAAGGGCATGACCCTCGGGGAGGTGGGGTGCAGGGGGTTCCCAGCCTCCACTGGCCCCTGCCTAGCTGCCCTTTGCTCTCAGGTATGTTGTCTGTCTGCTAGCTCCATGCTCTGCCAGCCTCCCGGGCTCCAAAGCTGTGCAGTTTTTATAGCAACACACACCCTGAAATCGCCAGTTACTTTACATTGACTCATCCTTAAAACATTATCTGTTTGAACTTCTTAACAAAACACACACCTGTAGTCACGATTAGATGTGCTATTTGTGTATGTTTTCCTGACATACCATGAAATGACCACAAGACAATTAAACCAGAAAGTGTCACGGACCCCCTGCCACCCCCTGGTGTTCTCCCGTGGGGAGGGCCATCGTCCGTGTGTCCTCCGAGGGAGGCCAGAGTCTGTCCCGCTGAGGGCGTGGGCTCCCCGGCAGGTGCTGGCCGGGCTCCAGGCTTCTCTCCCTGCTGCTCAAAGCCCCTGGCCTCCTCTGAACCTTCCCCGAGTCCCTGGGTGGCCCTGCCCTCAGCCACAGACACCTCCTGGCCACTGTTCAAACTCTTCCCGTGGCCCTGCTTCTCCATGAAAGCCCGTGGATGGTTCCAGAATCCGGACAGAGAGACATCCTGAACCGAAACCACCTGGGGGGATGCCACAGCCTCTGTCACAGCTCGGATGACTCTAGGTGGCAGGGATAGCCAGCTCTGCATCTTTGCCAGGGCCTGAATGGGTTAAGACATTCGGCCCAAACCATGGCGCAACCCAGATGTCTCCATAACGGTCTGCACATCGGCGGCCCTGAGGCCGACCAGACACCCGGAGAAGGTGGCAGTGGGCAGGGGCCAGGCAGCCCCTCTCCATGACTTCCCACCCCAGCGACCCTCACAGCGACAGGTCTCCCCCTGGGAGCATGTTGGAACCCCTGAGAGGGTCAAAATAATAATTAGTGCCTGGGCCTCCCCTGGGGGTCCTGAGCTATTGGTCTGGGAGGGCTCAGGCCTCAGAACAGAGCCAAGGGGCTGAGGGAGACTCCGCTGGGCATGTCTGAGAGGCACATGCTCCAGGCTGAGAACAGCTGCTTAGGGGACCTGGGGCCCCAGCAGGATGGAGGGCTGAAGGGAGGAGGCAGCGGCTTCCCCAGGGCTGGGGCCAGGTAGGTGTCAGGTCAGCTCTTGGAGCAACAGACCCTGAGCTCTCCATCACCCTGGACTTCTAGGCACAAAGAGTCCAGAGATGGTGCAGGGCAACCCCCAGCAAGGGGCAGCTGTGCAGCCCTGAGCCGGCAAACACAAAGGCGTGAGTCCACCCATGGCGGGGACGGCCGCCCTAGAAACAGGCTCAAGCCATGTCCATGCACCTGCAAGAACAGGCCTGATATACTATCATCCTTGGCTTGAAAATGACCGACTGGCTCAGGAGACACGGGCGGGCCATGGGGAGGAGACTCGCAGGTCTGGTTCTGTCTTTTCCTGGGAACTTCCAACGGAGAAGGGCCGGGCAGCCTGGTCAGCGGCCCCGGGTTCCTGACCTTGGTGGTGCCAACCTGGGGGCGGGGACTTTCTGTCATTTCGTGGACCATTTC